AGTACCGAGCCCTGGGGAACTCCGCTAGCTACCGGCCTCCAACTGGACTCTGCCCCGCCGATCAGAACTCTCTGGGCCCTGTCATTCAGCCAGTTCCGAATCCACCTCACTGTCCACTCATCCAACCCATACTTCGTGAGCTTCCTTATGAGGATGTTATGGGAAACAGTATCAAAAGCCTTGCTGAAGTCAAGGTAGACAACATCCACCGCTCTCCCTTTGTCTACCCAGCCGGTCATGCCATCATAGAAGGCTATCAGATTGGTCAGGCATGATTTCCCCTTGGTGAATCCGTGCTGGGTACTCCTGATGATCTTTTTGTCGTCCACTTGCTTGGAGAGGACACTTAGAATGAGTTGTTCCATCACCTTTCCAGGGACAGAGGTGAGACTAACCGGCCTGTAGTTCCTTGGGTCCTCCTTCTTGCCCTTTTTGAAGACTGAAGTGCAATTGAATTAAATGATTAAATTAAAATTCTGTCCTACTGAGTACTAGAAGTTAAAAAAAAAAAAGAAAAAAAAGAAACAAAGACTTCAGCTCCTAGCAAGACAGAAGTCTTGAGAAATAAGTCACTTTGTAAAACTTCTCCCAAGCATATGAACATTCCTGCCCCACCGGGTACATAATGTTGGCAAAATTAGGGTAAGATACAAACCAGCTACTGTGAAGATAGTAGGGATTTTTTTTGTCTGCCGCATTATGTAACTGAAGAATAGCATGGCAAAAGGAATTAAGGCTATCTAGAACAAGTAGTAGCTGGTAATTTTCTACAGCTTCAGTATTACAAAACCATATACTGCCAAGAATAATGAGATAACCCACAAAGCCTGTTATGGCACACTTACTGACATCCCCCCCAGATGTTGATTATCATAAAAGCAAAAGGAACATAGAAAACATGGAATAAATCAAACATGATGTACAGACAGTAAAAAAGGAAAAAATGGAGAAAACCCATTACGAGTTACTTCCTCCCAGCATACTATCCCAAAATACTCATTTAATTAAAATGCTGATCAGGTTATCTGGTGCAGTTAGATTGGGATTATCCCACCTGAAATCTTAGCTCCAGCTATCTCAACACTCCTCCTTTCAGTGCAATGGGTTGAGGTATCGGACATCTCAGCTGATTGTTAAGAATTAAGTACACAAAAAAATGCTTCCCACACTGGCAATAGGAGGTGCTACTTGGGCAGGGTATGTTAGCAGTCAGGCTCACGTACCCTGCCCTGAAGTTGTTGCATTAGGGATGGTAGAGTGTACGTCCCTGCCTGCTCCTATTCCTCTCTTTACGGACCTGTTGTTCACAAACTTGTCTCATCCCCTTTGGAGCTGCTAATACTGCCTGTCTTCACAACACCCTGTGGCGATAAAACCCAGAAGATCATAACCTGCTTTCTAAAGGAGTACTTCTATCTTTTTTAATGTCATCTCCTACCAATTTCATTGAGCATACCCAATTCTTGTACTGTTGTATTCTGTGAACAGTTTACCCCCCACCATGATTTTTTAAGTCTTTAAGTCAATTGACTGCATTTGCACTCCCCAAAACAATCTCTCAAAACCAAAACACAACAGAGCGAAGACATTAATAGACAGTACAAAACCCCTTTCAATAATTGCGGCATCCTGTGTTAAGTCTGAACTTTAACCAATATTCAGCTTACTCATCAGGGGAAAAAGAAAAAATCTTCACTTTTTTTGTGAATTATATTTGTGTTTACTTCTCTTCGCTTCTCTTGCCAAGACATTCAAAATCATTTACCCTACTGCAAATAATATTCCCAAATATAAGCAATAGAACAAATTCTATACTATCCTCCAGTCTCATGGCTGAGACTACAGAAAATTTCTAACCTCTGATAACTTTTTAGTTGCTATACCAGCCTCTGGAGTGCAAGTTAAAATAAGATTTCAGCCTCCAATGACTTATGCCTGCAAATTAACCTGGAACAAAGTTACCCCCAAAATCAATGGACTGTAAAGATAGCTTAAAGCTAGTTTTGTACCAACTAACAAAGTAAGCTGCACTTTACATTTCCTGAACACAAAGAAGAATATTCTCCCAAGTTTGAAATGCTGGCCTGAAAACACTTGCCCGGAATGCATTTTAATGTGTTAATGTTTTACTTGTCTAAATACCAAATATGTTACAAAATATATTTCTAGTTTAAATAAGAATTTTCTCCTGAGCCATCCATCACCTTTTCAGGTTGGCTAGTTCCACAGTAAATTTACCATTTGGAATGTTTGGCATACTACATCAGACCCTGATGTCAGACGGATGGGGACAGAAATGCAATGTACGCTCTTGTCCAGCTGAGCAAATAGCAGCAACTGAATACCAAAAGGGAAAGGTATTCAGGCAATACAACACATTAAAAGGCAGGAATTTTAAGAGTTAGTGCTGGAGAAGGAGAAAAAAAAGGATTGAGATAAAATAGAGCAAAATATAAAAATGAAGAAGATAACATGAAAGAGAAATACATGAATTTTTTAGGGGAATGAAATGACTGACACAGAGAGTAACGTTCAATGAGCAAAAAACTCCATTAAAGATAAAAATCCATATAAAATCAAGTGGTCTCAGAAAAAAAGTGGATCAAGAATTTAGTTTCCATCTCACTTTTTAAATATTTTACACGTATATTATTAAAAAAATTTTAAAAGTAAACCTTCATGCTTTTATATAATGAGCTTATAACTAGAGCTGTGGTACTATATCCTCTTAGTAAGATTATAACATGACTGCAGGATTAACAGACAGGAAAATCTGGACTGTGAGAAAGAAGTATTTTTCAGACAAATCTTTAACAATAATAATGCAAGCTGAGAAAGAGTGGGAAAGTAAATTGATTTCCCCCCCCCCCCCCCCCCCACTTCCCCTTTTCGCCCCCCCCACACACAC